GAAGACATGAAAATGGCAATGGCGAAGGATCAACTGAGGCATCAAGTAAGATTGGTCCAAATCTTTAAAGATGACAATCCCAAAACTTGTTAAACAATACAAGGATTTATACCGTACAGAGAGGTCTTCCAAATCAGGGCCTCAGGGGACTAGGTGTTCTTGACTAAGCATTAACGATTATCATTGCTTCACAGTAGGTCGAATTGCCCAAGCATTATGTCCCTTACATGATCAACACTTCAACAGAAAATTGATGCCATAGCTTACAAACTGGAACTGTCTAACACCACCACGCACCATCTTTCATGCTATTCCRTCTACCGTGCTACCTAGTTTGGGTCCTAACGACCAGCTTTTCATAGAATCTGTGACAACTCTGGACAAGCAAATGGTCGAAGTTAAAACTGACTGTGGACCAGTACTTGTTTAATGGTCGACTGCTAGTACAGATGCAACGTGGGAAGATTGGAGTTCAATGAAGTCCAGATTCTTTGCTTTGATCCTTGSGGACAAGGAAGCTTTGAAGGGAAAGATAATGTTGCAGATTAAAGGGCCAGGTGATAAAAAATCAAGAGGATCAAACTCATAGTTGGAGAGAAAGCTGTTGAGTTCTAAATGATGCTAAACACAGTCAATGATAGCTGGTTAATTAGTAATTAACTGTTGTTTTCCATTTTAAAGTTTTCTATTTGCCATGTTTTTTTTTTGTAAGGGTGTCCGGGCCAAAGCCCGACTAATCCCCGGCAAATTTGGAGGCTAAACATGGCCCCACTTAAATGTCGCCAACACTCCTCTCCCAGGGTTCGAACTCGGGTTCATGACTATGCCATGCCCAAGCCTTTAAACATGTTGTTTAATGGAGGCATAAGCAACTGGTGTGTGTCATTTTGTAGGAGAGCATATTACCAAGTTACAGGGTAAAAGGAGTACTATCTGGAGTCATATTAAGAAACAAATTCTGTCTTTCGTCGTTGTTCTCTCTCTGAATTTCTTCTGCAACTCTTACCATTTATGCGTCATTTCTCCTAATCTAGGATATCCATTTTGACTTGGATAGGTATCAATTCACAATATGAAAACAAGTCCTAGCCGTTTCAAATTCTTTTATCTTTGTTTTCTCTGTAATAAGAGCTTAACAGCATTCAGTTAAGATACATAAAGTCATGGATGTGTGTAAAAGTTTAGAACTAGAACTCTGGAAGTGCCAAAAATGAGAATAAACCCCTCCTCCTGGTCGCCCCTGGCATTTTCTTTGAGAACTTMATAGATCACCAGCTTCAGTAAAGTTCTTATCTCTTCTCTAAGCATATCTATCGGACATGAGGTTACCGTTTTTTATGCACTATCCATGTAAACTCRAATGCATTGTTGGAGCTATTATGCATTCTTGAGAGTATCCTTAAACAAATGTGTGCTGCTTCATGAAGATGTGACCTGTTTATTGGAAAATTAAGTGCTTTCTGTACATATGATCTGTATAATAGAYAATTAGATATTTGCTTCCATTGTTTGTTACTAATGACTGAAACATAATACAGGTATGGTATGATAATGTACCTCATACACGTTTGGTTGAAGATAAAGGAGGGCAAAACTGGATATCAAGAAACAAAGACAAGTTTATATTTCCAGGAGGTGGAACTCAGTTTATACATGGTGCAAATCAGTACTTGGATCAGATTTCTAAGGTTTTCTATTTTCACATTATTGTAGATTATGCATCTGGTATGCGCAACTCTAAGTCCATCTTTTTACCGAGCGTGTAGATGGTTCCTGATATTGCATTTGGTCAACATGTTCGAGTTGCCTTGGATGTTGGTTGCGGTGTAGCAAGTTTTGGTGCCTTTCTACTGGATCGCAATGTGACTACTCTATCTATAGCACCAAAGGACGTTCATGAGAATCAGATTCAATTTGCTCTAGAGCGTGGTGTGCCTGCCATCGTGGCAGCATTTGCAACACATCGTCTATTGTATCCAAGCCAAGCATTTGATTTAGTACATTGTTCAAGATGTAGAATAAATTGGACTCGTGATGGTATGCTTCTTCCTTTGTGTTTGTTTACATGATACATATGTGATGTGTATCAAACATATTTACATGATTGTTTTCCCTTTAATGTACATTATCTCTTTAATTGTAAACGTGTAGAAGATAATKAGTAGAGCGGATGAGTTCATTTTGCTTCTTCATATGTTACATCTTCATACTTCTGTCTAGATGCATTATGAACTCAGATCTTGAGATGTCTTTCTTTGAGCTGGAGGTCTATAACTTGTGCTAGAATCACGTGTGTYATAAAAATGACATCCTTTGATCCCAATTGTGTTTGTTTTTTCCTTCTCATGGATGGCTCTTTCACTGGCATTATTGGTATTAATTGGCTTTTACCTTTTGTTCGTTTGTGTTTAAGATGGAATTTTGCTTCTGGAGGTGAACAGGATGCTAAGGGCTGGAGGATACTTTGTCTGGGCGGCACAACCTGTTTATAAACATGAAGATAAGCTTCAACAACAATGGAAAGGTAATATATATGTCAATGGTATAAATTTTTTTGAGTCAGATTTGCATTGGATCGACTGGTAATTTGATCTGGCCCATGAGCCAACTAATTGGATTGTGATCTGCATGACCCAACTCATTTAAATAGATGGATCATGACCCAGATCGACCCATTTATTTTCTTGTTTTCATAACCTTACACACCTCCTCCCCACACCCCGTCTCCTACCKCTCCACCCTGATCCATCTATGCCCCCTCCCTCTTTCACCTCACCCCACAATCTCCTATCCCCTCCCTCTCCCTTGTCCATCTTTTCTTATAAAATATTTTTATATTTTTTTGTTTAATTTTTTTTATTTCTTGTTAAATGATTATTATTTAAAAATGATGATTCTTTATAATGATAATTTTTTTAAAATTTTGACTACATAAATACACTTGTAAAAAAAGATGTCAGTCATGTGAAATGTGACTCATCTTAAAAATTGTCRTCATAAAATTTAGAAAATTGCTCTTCTTAAAAGTCATTTAAAAAAAATAAATTTAAAATCTTAAAAACGCATCAAACATTGGGGGAGGGGATGTTTAAAGTGAGAAAAAGGAGTAATTAATGATGAAATAGGTGTTTAATATTATAGAAGATATCCTATATATTGTTTTACTATTTAATAGATCTACCTAGACGGATCATGTATCGCCAAAAGTAATGATCTGCCAAATGGGTCGATCTATTTGATCATTGGATCAAGAGATTTTTTTCCTGTGGAATCATAGAAATGGATCAGATCTAGATCATGGCCCGAACTACTGATAGTCCTATAAGAACTTACACAATRTGTTTATTACRAAATTTTATAACCTATATGATACGTCTCAGCCCGACCCGCACTGGGGTCGRATATATCAGCTTCGCAAAAGAGAGGCAGGAAACAAGTAGAGGGGGTTGTTCGCAATTTCCTTATTCTTAATTAGTTGATTAGGAAAGATATTAATTAGTTTATTAGGATAAATTTGTTTTCCTATTTTTTAGGATTAGGGTATATTTTTTAGGATTAGGGTACGGCTTTATYTAAGGGACCGGCCACCCCATTGTTTGCATTCATTCTAGTATTTTGATTCTTGTCGTAGACATTGGAGATTACTGGGTCTCGAATTCCAGGGTTTATTTTAATAAGCATCCGATTAGTGGTACTTTTGGCCGCTAATCTTGATTTTGCCAATTGATTCATATCACTATATCTTGCACTCTACATATGTGTTGATATAGAGATAATATGTCAAGTATCTAAACACCAAAATGCTTTTCTAACAAGTCTTGTTACAMTTTCCACATCTTCATTCGTTTCCTTATCCTGTTCCCTGTTTTAATGATTTTCTGCTTCATTTCATCATTGTTGAATATACCTGTGTACAGAAATGGAGGATCTTACTGGACGCATTTGTTGGGAACTCATAGCAAAGGAAGGATATATTGCCATATGGCGCAAGCCTCTCAACAACACCTGCTACCTTGGCCGTAATCTAGGTGTACAACCTCCAGTATGTGATGCCAATGATGACCCCGATAATGTTTGGTATGTCATGGTTTACTCTTTCCATTTTGTAACATGCTGTGGCCAACTTCCATCGCATCTTAGATAACCCAAGCATGAGAAACTTATCTGGTAACAACTAACGTGCTATTTGTTTTTTTTTTCTCTTTCATCAACCCCTGTATGGATTTAACTGTATGTATGGATTAAGCTGTCCATATGGACTTAGATAAATTGCTGTTTGTTTAAACCGCCATGGTATACCATTGCTGCACCCCAAAATCGTTGTGATAGTACCCTTGGTTATTGCTGGCGCTGTTACATCTAATTAATCATTCTTAAGTAACCTTTGATGTCAGTAGCTTCTTAGTAGGATCTTTTAGCAATATGTCTTGGTGAATTAGAAAGGAGTGTTTAAGCAATGAGGAGCACACAGACATGTTAAGTTCATCATTGCAGAAAGAATAATCACATTGGTTCAGAAACTACTAAAACTTCTGAAATTATTCTGAAGTATATCAGCCTGATTTATATTAAGCAAGGAATTGAGAGAGAGTGATCAAGTATGAGGGGTGAGGCTACACATACTGTGGACACACACATACCTATACTATATATATAAGCATGCTAAACGGTTAAGAGTTAAAAATTAAGAGGTACTACCCCTTATGCATCAGGCACAAGTTTTGAAGCTAATCAGCTTTCACATTTCAAAGATAATATTAAAATAAAATATTTTTTAATTTTTAAGTTGCACTTTACACCCTTATAGTTAGTTATTTAATTTTTCTTTTTCATTTTTCATTTTTCATTTTTCATTTTACACTATTATCATATTATCATACATAATCGTATGTTAACTAAAATATATTAAAAAAATACTTTTCACTTTTTACAAATTATACCATTATAATCGTCTCATCAATGCCTTCAGAATGAGTCCAATATTGAATATTTTTCGATTTAATCTCATATTATTAAATAACTTAAATACGTAGTGAATTATTTTTAGAACTTTCATTTTATATCTTATAGTTATCGTATTTAATTTGTTTTATATACCTTATTTTTTCATTTCTATTTTACACCCWTWATTTAYAAATTTAAAGTTGTAGAACCCATAACTTTAAATCTCCACATCCCAAGATAATATTAAATATCAAATGTTTTTTTTTTTTTTTTTAATTGCAATTTATACTCTTATAATTAGTTATATAATTTATTTCATACCACTTACTTTTCCATTTTTTTTTATTTTACGTTTTTATTATATTAAAATAAATAATCGTATATGAACTAAAATTATTATAAAATACATTTTTTTATAAATTATATAATTATAATTGTCTCATTAACACCTTTAAAATGAATCAATATTGAGTATTTTAAATTTTATCATGCTATTAAATATCATAAACGCCATAATTTAAATGGTAGAACATTTTATAAATAAATAATTTTTTATTTACAAGAAAGTTTTATATTTAGTTGCATTGCAGCGGGTACAAAACTAGTATATATATATATAGAAAGGGGCAAATGATATTGTTCTTTGCAAGCTCCTACTATATATCTCAATCACCACAATGTTACAACATGCACCATGAGCGGAGTCGAATTGGTAACAGAATAAGAATTTCATTCAACAAAATTGCCTAAGAAGGTTTATACATTCGACATGACCAATGCATAACATTAAGAAGGAATATCTGAAGGCTTGCAAGCAATATGGAAACTTGATGTGAAATCTAAAAGGTTCCGATACTGAAAAACTTATGTTTTGTATTAGACAGAAAAAGATAGTGAAATATGGATTTTGTTGTGTCATAACTTCAATGTTGCAATGCTGCAGGTATGTCCCGCTGAAGGCATGCATCAGCCAGTTACCCGAGAACGGTTATGGAGCTAATGTTACCACATGGCCCTTACGCCTTCATCATCCACCAGACAGGCTTCAAAGTATAGAGATGGATGCCATCTTGTCCAGGAATGATATATATAAGGCAGAGTCAAAATATTGGAAAGATATAACATTTAGTTATGTAAATGTTTTTCGTTGGAGGGCTTTAAATGTACGAAACGTTATGGACATGAGGGCAAGATATGGAGGGTATTATCATATTTCCATACTCGTAGCATCTTTCACATTCTCTAATATTTATGGTAATTTTCTGATATTTAGCATGTTTGTTTATGATGACAGATTTGCAGCAGCATTACATGATCATGGRGTTGATTGCTGGGTTATGAATGTTGTTCCTGTTAGCGATACAAACACATTACCTGTAATTTACGACCGTGGACTCATAGGTGTTGTACATGACTGGTATGAACTACCTTTGTTCTGGATGTTGGCTTCTTTTAACCCAATCTTCTTCTCATCAAAATATTGTAGATGAAAATTGTTCACCTAAATGGGAAACAACATTTAGATGCTTAAAAACCTTATAAATTGTAAATGATAGAGAGTCTTCACGGAAACAACCGKGTCTGTGTACATCCCACCCTCCCAAGATCCTACCTCTGTGTGGGATATACCGTGCTTGTTGGTTTGATTATTGTAATTGATTMTTACAGCAAACAATGAGCTAGAGCTTTTGGCTTAACCACGGTCTCCGGGGGAGAAAAAGAGCATTATTTTCTGTGTTGGTTAGGGATAAAAAGACTTGTATATATTCGTCCTACTGGCATGATATGTTAAATCTGTTGTTTTTCCAGGTGTGAGCCATTTGATACATACCCTAGAACTTACGACATATTGAATGCCGCTGGTCTCTTCTCCATAGAGCAGAAAAGGTAAAATGTGCCCTTCTCTTTTCTCACCARTTGCGTAATATATTGGATATGGAACCAGATTTGGACTCTACCCCTTTGGGATATAGAGTTAGCTGTGATTAATGATCCTAACATGAAAAWCTGTTTGTCTGTTTGTTTGTATTGAAGCAGGTGTAATATCTCTAGCATCATGCTTGAGATGAATCGGATATTACGGCCAAATGGGCATGTCTATATTCGTGATGCTAATTCCATCATCTATAGACTTGAAGAAATCRCAAAGGCCATGGGATGGATCACACACGTCTTTGACAATGGCGAGGGTCCGAATGCTGGTGCCAAGCTTTTGACATGTGAGAAACGTATGTAACATCCTCATTCTTCACCTGCCTTAAAAGTGTACACAAGAAAAGAAAGCTGGAAGTGTATATTCTATTCAATCTGTATGTATACATACTAGTTAATCATAGTAGCTGYTATATACATGGAAAATTCTACTTGTATTTCTATGAGATCAGTCAGCCTGAAATTGATCCAACTTTTAGGCAAATGAGATTTAWTTTGATATGTAGATTGTAAAATTGATAATTATTTTGAGATGGAAAGCTGGATAAAAATTCGATGATTATTAATATCCAAAATATTTTATAAAATAAATAGAAGATAAAATTTGGATATTTGATTTTTTTTTTCATAGTAATCTTAATTAGTAAAGAAAGACTTGGAAGTATAAAATTTAAACTAGTGATTGATATTGATTCTCACATTCTTAAAACTTTTGGGGCTTCTCTTTCTTCTTTGGAACCTTTTATATATATATATATATATATATATATATATATATATATATACTAAGTTAGAGAGATAGATAGGGAGAGGTTTAGCAACTCATGGATATAGAAGAGAAATTCTTTCTTGAATTCGTTCACTCTTATTTACAAATGAAGAGAATGAAGGTATTTATAAACCTTCATATGCTTATCTATGATTACAAAAGATATACTTGATAAGATAAA